AGAGCATCTCCCATTTGGCTGGTACATTGCTCTATAAACTCAAACAAATGGTCCCATTGACTACCTTAATAAGGATTAGCTCATAGCCGTTTGACCTAAATAATCTAAAATGGAACCTAAACGGCGTAACAAACCGCATGTCTTATCGACAACATGCGGTACCTGGCCGTCATTTCAACTTAGATTAAGAATTTTATAATAATTGTACAAATTAACAGTCCTCCCAATAGGGTAAAAGGACGCTTGAAGTGCATTATTTTCATGGGAAATCTAGTTAAACTTGACAGATGACCCAAACGATGGAGAAAGTATTCTTTGTCCAATGGACAGTAATATCGAAAACCATCTAGCTATCCAAGTTCATACCGCATGAACCTTAGACAGCTGTGTACTTGGCTTGGGACAATCAGAGTAGTGATTGATTGACAAAGGAACTCGTCATACTCTTTAAAGTATCAAGAGTTCCTAGGTCAATCGGTCTACTTTTTGAAACCAACGACATAGCCGCCTAGGGGCAAGAGGCCAGCCGGTTTGTTAGTTGTCGTATGCGATTAACATGTTAGGCAGAAATCAAAGCATATATAGAAAAAATTCAAAGAATTGCAAAATTGAAAAATTAAACTCAAATTGAAGTAAAACTAACTCAATCGGCCATTTCATTAATAAAACCTAACCCTAAAGTTGGGGGTGATATTTTCATACCGGATCCATGTCCGGGCAAATCAAAGATTGTTAAAATTACAACACAGATACTCAGCACGCAGGCCGGAAAAGCAGACGACTCAAGGCCGAAAAAGAGAGAAATAAAGATTAATTTTGCTGAGGCGGGGCCACCGACGGCTCTTGCCCAAAAGGGAGCGCACTGGCATTCTGCCCAGGCGGGGGAAGAGCAAAGTTGATTGGCGTCTCTTCTACTTGATTCTCTTCTCCATCTTCCACACCCCTCTCCTACTCATCCTAAAAGCCCTCTTTTTTGTGCGCCCAGATGTCAAACGGCTCCGGCTCTGGCTTTCCCTCTGCCCTAGCAGTAAGAACAAGATTTGCATATTGATATTTCAAGGAAAAGACACCCCCATTTGGTTCCCGAATGAAGGAGGTCCCATGCGATCTTTGTAGTCTTATTCATTCTCCTCTATGAGGCGGCTCTGCTCAGTCTCCAAAGCTGCTTGATGACTGGTCCTTGTCTAAGCCAGCTCATTCTTTAGACGATCAACGTCTGCCCGGAGAGTGGTGTTCTCCTTGTCAGCACCTTCCAAGGCTTTGAGGTCCAACTGGGCATTTTTGAGTGCCGCCTCAAAGTCGGAGGCTATCTTGTTCGCCTCATCCAGCGCAAACGTCAGTTTCCTGATAGACTCCGCCTGCGTCAGTAACTTAGCCTTAGTCTCAAGATCATTCGTTGTACATTTATATTGGGAGACATCAGCAGACTCAGCCGCCCGGACTTTGGTAGCCCTTACCTCTTCCTGTTTGCGGGCATACGACTTCTTTATCCCGTCAACTCCTCAGCATGGCCTATATTATATAAACGGCATGTTAAACACCCAATTGGTATTTTACTAAGTAGAATATCTATGGGTTTGAGTTAAGTTAATATACCTCAGACAGCAAAGCAAGGATGCGTGCAACAATGAACGTATGCACCCGAGGGATGGCCTCCTTGTCCTTCTTGGCTATGGACCTCAGCATGGTCTTGGAGATTTGCTGCACATCCGGTCATCGGGGGGATAGATCTACAGCATAAGGTAGATTTGGTGAGTAAGCAACATAGGCGCCACCAATAGAATTTCGGCTGCTTAAAGAACCTTTTGACTGCTGTTGAGAGCGTCACTTGACCCACATGGGCCAAGGAAGATCAAAGGAAATATCAAAGGGGTCATCCGTACCTTGGTGTAATGGTTGAAGGCTTAGATTGCCTATAACCGCTTAAAGCTTTGGGTGGCTCGCTTCCCTTCATCGCCTCAGTGGCGCTCAGCTTAAAAAGGATTATCCCAAGACCAAATTTTTTTATGCTCTTCCCCCCAACGGTCAGACGACCTTTCCCAAGCGGAAGATCCAGAACCTTCTGGGATGAAACCTTCCTGGACTTGGCTGAACTTTTGGCCTTGTCCTCAAACTTCCGTTTGATCAGCTTCGTAAATGATCTAGGAGGCCCCTTATCTCCATACTGGATGAAGAAAACAAATTGTCAGGCACAGTCGGCACATATATGTATGAAAGAAGAATGATCATGACAGACGGGATATACTTGATCCTTTTGGAAAGCCGCCTGCTGAGCCCATTTTTCTTCAGCATTGTCCTTCCTTATTTGGGCAGCTTAGCGGGCAGGCGTCTTGTGTTTTGGAATCATGGCTCTGGCATCCTCTGCAATAAAAGTTGTCTGTTATATCACCAAAAAACAAGAAAACTATAAGCAAAGTGTAGAAACAATAAAGGCAGCATTAAAATGCCGGATGATTATTTGACATACGTTTGTCAAACATGGTACTGAGACCATAGGCGGACAAAAAGCACTCATCCCTCGGCCACTCATGCTTTGGTACCCAATTTTTGGGCACAATGATTTGTTCGTCGGTTGATAGGGGCATGGTGGTTACCCCAAAGAAATCCGGCTCTATTAATTTGGCCCAGTTGTTGTCTGCCCAACAGCTCCGACTTGTTATTGTAACGACGATACTCATGATTTTCTTGCCGTTTGCGGGAAGAAACAAGATAGAACTTGTTCCTCCAATCATACCACTTAAACGGTTTGTCTAAGATCATAAGGTATTCCAGGTAAGTGGTTAGTGTGTACCACGTCAGCCAGCCCTCTGGGTTATGGCTCAAATAATGCATCTTGGCAAAAGCCTCCCAGCAGGGATGGAGGTTCTGCATCTTGTAGGCGGCGATGTAGCCCAGAATGTTAACCTAGAAGTTTGGGGTCAACAGTCACACGCCTAAGCCATATCCTCGAAGAATGGCCTTTATTGCGTCATGGAGGGGAGAGCGGAGGCCGACTAAGAATGCCGCCTCATAACAGCTAAAGTAGTCATTGGCGTTTCGTTGGTCATCTTCCCATGCTATGGTGCCCAATTCAGGCGGCACCCAGATGGCATATTTCCCCTCAAGGGAACGTTTCTTCTTGAAATTTTCAAGGCCCACCTTCATGTTTGCCCTATCCCTGGCTGAAACATGAATTTGAAACGGGTCCGTCTTATTAATTTAGAGGCGGCACTCCTCCTCCTCACTATCCACCACCGGCTCTAAAGAGTTACTGCTGCCCTCTTCAAAGTCCAACCTAGAGGCGGACTCTCCATTATTTCTCTCCTTAGAGCTAGGCCCAGAGCTGGCCTCTTCGCCGTCTCCAGGCTCGAACTCTTCTCCTTGATCAGACTCCTCCAAAATACCATCACTTGGAGTGCTAGGTGCACCTAGGGGAAAGTCCACTTCTCCCTCAACCGGTGATGTCTCGTCAACCGATACTACTTCATCAGCCGGCACTTCTATTGTACCTTCCTCCCTATATTCCAGATCAGGTGCCGTCTACTTTGTCCGAGCCATAGTGTCCTGCACAAATAAAGGTGCCGAGAGACAGCACCCCAAGTCCTGGACTCAGCCGTACCAGGAGACCGGTTGACTATTGTCCTAGGGCGTGCCGTGTGTGTTGATGGTGAATTAATTTATTTCAAAAAAATATGCACAAACAAACAGTAAAAGAATGTAAGAGAGAGAGAGACTATTACCTCAAATATGTTATTCTGAAGTGATAGGGTGTCAAGCGCTGACCGACTGTAACAAGTCGGAAAAACAAGTGAAATTGTCAGAAAGATATACAAGCGGTTATTAGACTCTCTCTCTATCTCTCTAGAATTGTTTGCTTTCTCTCTCTAGACTTTATAAAATGGTCAAAAAGGAGGGAGGGGTAAAACGCTATTTATAGAGGGGTATATCCAGGGCATTTCTGAAATATCCCCACAAGGTGAACAGTTAAAAACAATTCACAAATGCCAAACTGACAAGTGTCACAGGCGCCACGTGGCACGCCACGTCACCCCTATAAGGGGCAAATGATTTGGGAAAAAATACCCAGGGCACGTGGCCCAATCAGAAGGGGACACGTGTCACCCCAAGAGAGGCCCAAAAGGGACCAATCACCAGTTGACACGTGGCACTCCCAATCATCAGGTAAAAAAGGTTGCTTACAAAGGCCCAAATCCCGAGAACGCCGTAAAAACGGCGCGGCCCATTTTCCTAGGTTGATGACCTAGACTAGGGGGCACTGATTCCCATAACCCTATAAATAGGGAGATTTACCCTAATTTGGGGACACATTCATTCATTACATCACAATCAATTCTCTTACAACAGACAAAAACTCTTGATATCGGGATCCGAGAAGATCTACTTTTACTTTCCGCACTTTTTACTCTCCTTTGACTGTTACTAACTTGATCATTGGAGGCGGAACTCTGCACAACCGGAGCTTCCGTTTGTTTGCGGGTACAGGTGAAGGAAATCCAGTATTGGTGACGTAACTCTTCCGCAGGACACATAAAAACCACGAAACAAAGTATACAAAAGATATTCAGAAATATTTCATTTGAGTATATATAGAATATGATTGTCAAAATGGAAAGAAAATATCACAAGGTATAAGATTTTGCAAAAAAAAAAGCGAAAAAGGCGGGAAATTTTTCACAAGGTAATGACAAGTGTCATGAAAGGATTTGCCTTTAGTATAGGTTAATAGATAGATTATTTCATTTTAGATGTTTAAAATAGGTATTATATAATAATTCCCTTATTTTTTTTTTCTTTATAATAGGACAAAAAAAAATTAAAAGAAATCTAAACAAATTGAAAAATGGTAAACTGGTCCAATTCATCTAATAAAATCTCAAGTTTTATCATATAAAAATCGTACATGGCACAGATTTCATCTAATACCTTGTTTTTTTTTGTTTTTTTTTTTTTTTGAGGAATCATATAATAGTATCTAATAACATCGAACTTTTGGGATGCAGAAAATGTATTAAAATTGCTACTAAAGAAACATCCTGTGCTAATGGACGCCGTGGATCGCAATAAAGGTTACAATATGCTTCACCAATGGGCAAAACTGAATCAAGTTTGGCCATTTGATTTCCTTTTAAAGGGAGACTTTCCGGGTGCGAGGACCAAAGTCTTCACTGATTTAATCACAAAGAAGACGAAAAAAAAGAATTGGTATGATACTCCTTTACATACGGCAGCAAGAACACATAAGAATGTCGAAATTACGAAATCGATTATAAATGGTTACAAACTAGAACAGGTAATGAGGGCAGGAAGTATGGTTGAGTCAACTGATACCTCTCCACCTTGGAGAATAGGGAATAGATACAAACATACGCCATTGCTCGTTGCTATATATGAACAACAAAACGAAGAACTTGCACTGTATTACATAAACCTCGATTCAACATTATTGCATATGTTAAGTGATAGTGGAGAGAGCCCTCTATTTGCTGCTGTTGGTGATCTTTGTGCAAACGTTGTTGAAGAAATTTTGAACAATCAGGAAGTTAGTTTCAACATGTTGCGTAAAACCAAGGGAAATACTGTGCTTCATAGCTTATGGAAAATGCCAGGTACTTTCTTCGTGCTTTTTAATTTTTTGTTTTCGGCATCACGCAAACAATTAGCTAATTCTGCCTTTGTTTTTTTTTTTTTACTGTAACTTGTTGATTTTTTTGCACTATTCACCTAATTCATTGGACTAATATTAGTCATGTATACAAGTAGATAAGGAAAAACATATTACGAGTTTGCATTGATATACGTGTCCACAAATTGTGTCTATTAATAATTTACCAATATTTAACTGTTATAATATTAATTTATTGATAATTAAATATGCTATTTATTAATTTCTTTTTAACTTACACATTTGCCCATTAAAATCGTAATGTTGCACTTAATTGTTAATTGGACTTTTTGTTAAAAATTGCCTAATAACACCCAAATTTGATGAGAAACAACCTAATAAAAAAATGTTAAAAGAAATTACCTAATAAAAGGTAAAATGTTGTAAAGTACTACCTATAGCCGAATTTCCTCCGTTGACCAAACTTTCTGGCGTTGACCCACATCTAAGCACCCTTGAAACCACCGCCACGAGGGTTGGTTTTCAAGGTGGTAAGGCTAATTTCGAGGTGGTTTAGAGATTATCCGAGTTAGTGGGGGTAATTCGGGGTACAAGATTATAGTTCCGGCGGTGTTTTGAAGCGAGTCAATGCCGAATAATTAGATCAACAGTAGAAATCCAGCCATAGGTAGTATTTTACAACATTTACCTTTAATGGGTAGTTTCTTACAAAAAAAAATTTATTAGGTATTTTTCCACAAAATTTGAATTTTAATAGGTAATTTCTTAAAAAAAGTCCTTATTTATTTAATATTACTCTTTAATAAAACAGGAGCCTTGTTCGTAAGATGTAATAAGTGGGGTATTAAATAATCATAGAAAAGATACACTTGAAAAATAGTTATTGGAAACCAAGGCAAGTAAAAAAAAGTATTGGCCTGGATATATGTGAATAAAGAAAAATAGTATTCAAATGTAAGTACTTTACGGCTGCATTAGGCAAGTATAACATTTAAAACCAATAGAGGGAGTAATTTATTAGCAGAAATTCTTATATGTAACTGGTCATAAGGTGTGACCAATTCACAATACAGGATTTAATTATGTAATAGAGGGTTACGGTGATGAGCAAATGGGGTTACCTTGACTATGTGAGTTACTTAAATGAAAAAAGGGGTTACTCTCTTACATAAGGGAATCATTCTTTCAATTTTAAAAACAAAAAAATAGGGTTACTCAAATTAACAGATGGGGTTAATTATTTTTAAATTAGTTGATATAACTCGTATAATGAATTGGAGTTACTTTAATGGATAAAATGAGGTTACTCTTATGAATAAATAGGGTTACTCATGTATATAAATAAGGATTATTTTTATAATAAATCAATGTTACAAGACTTGCTCATTCATTAGACCTACAAAAAAGACAACAAAAATGATTTTTTCACTACTTTTTTCAAGTCTTTAGTCATGATATTAAAATTTTTGATATTTGGTTTTTAAAAAAATCTAGAACCGATCCAAACTGATTTGAAACAATTATTCTGGTCCAATCTAAGTTTGACCTTAGCTAAACCGGTTTGGTCTTTGTTTCTTGAAATTTTAAATTTTCGATTTTTGATTTGGTCCGGTACGATCTGGTGGAATTGGTGAAAACCCTACAAATAAATATTACGATAATTAAAATTACTTTAACAAGTCTACCTTTGTTGTTATTTCATCATGCTTCTCTGTACCATCAATCACATAAAAATTAATATTTCCTTTGGAAGACATAAAACAAATTGTAAGCCTAAACTTAGTAACTGTTATTTGGTAAAAAAATAAAAAGCCCAAAATGAGCTTCTCTCTTTCATATAAGGGGAGATTTTGTGTGTGGCTGGCCACACAATGTGGCCAGCTAACACATGACAAAAGTAACTCCACCGATCTAGTAATCCTGACCAATTAACCCCTCCGATCAAGTAATCTCTCCGACTTAGTAATCCCTGACCGAGCTAGTAACCTCTGACCGACCTAGTAACCCATGACTTAGTAATCCCTAACCAATCTAGAATTAGACATATGATATAATTGTCAAACACAACATTTATTTTATTGTTATACTATATACTATAAATCCTTAATTTGTGATAATATATACGTAGTACGGATTAGTAAAATTTCAGAAACAAAATTGTAATTAAGTTGAATATATAGTTATGTTGAAATTGAAATATAATATTAGCTAGAGGTGTTTGAAAATAAAAAATTTAAGCGATGTTTTAAAGTAATTTCTTTAACATCTATTATATGAATCAATTTATTATTACTTTTATTTTTTTGGCAAAATCTAATAATACTTCATTTAAAAGATAATTAAAAAGGAGTTGGAATAATTATTCAGGTAAATGTGTGTTGAATATGAACACCAAGTAAAAAGGAATATATTTGTCATAAAGATATAATATAAAAGATTTAGAATGATGTTATTATACAATCAAATATTAACAAAGAAAAAAGGTCAAAAAGGAAAAGGGAGTTTTGGAGGGAAAAACAAGCAGCAGGATGTGACACGTGTCACTCCCGGTGTCTGTTTTAGTATTAAGTTATTGATGATTTTAATTTTTCTTTTTTTTTTAAAAAAAAAATAGCCCTTCACCCCCTGAACAACCCCCAAATTCTTTAGCTGTCCCGTCACCACAACCCTCCTCCATAGAAGCCAATCACCATGATAGATTGCTAACTACCTCACGAACTAGCCCACTGCCGACCACCACCATAAACCCCTCTGAGCCCAACCCCACGCTGACCACCACCTTTTGCGAACGCAGCCCCTCGCGACCATCGACCCCTCGCCGATCATCACCTTTCTCCTTGGAACCCCCCACAAACCTAGCCATCTGTCGTGGCTGTCGATGCGACTGTCTCCCTAATTCGAACCCTCACGCCAACCACCTATCTCTATGATGGTTTTAGGGTGATTTTATGATGGGTGGGATGTTTGGGGTGTGTGCAGTGGCTTATCCGAATTCAGAAGTGTGGGTTCGGAATTGTTAAAAACTACTTCATAAGATATAGGTCATTAGATTTTTTTAATTTAAACGTTGGTTATTTCACACTTGCTATTGCACATTCTATAACTAAAAATAGTTGATAACTTGATATCATAAAAATATTGTTCGAGACGAATTTAACAAGATCCATTTGACGAATATATAATTTTTCCAGCATATGAATTACAAAAAACGACCAAAGGAATGTGTACAAATGTTGCAATTTAAAAAGAACGTAAAATTTATATTTTAATAGATACATTCAAATCCAAATTACAATGGATAACATATAACTTAACATAATGTAATACGGTTAAAAAAGGGGTTCTACAAAAATATTCGGGTTTTCATATACTTTGGTGAAAAAAATAATTAGGGTAAAGGGATTTGATATTTTGAGTCTTTAAAGAGTTTGTTAGGATATTTGGAGTTCAGAGAAGTAATTGAAGCAAAAGGGTAAAAAAAAAATAAAGCATTCGAGTTTTCATATACTTTGGAGAACAAAGTTAGGGTAATGGGGTTTGATTTTTTGAGTATTTGGTGAGTTTGTTTGCATATTGGGATTTTAGAGAAGTAGTTAAAGCAAAAGAGGAAAAAAAATATATTTAAACGGCTAAAAAATTGAGAGGGAAAAAATATTTAGAAGGCTAAAAAGTTTATGTACAAAGAATCGAACCCCCACCTTAGGGGCCTAAAGGCTTACAAACATGTACTCAAGAAAACCAGCAAGCCACGCTGCTTTTCCTCTTCTGGCTATGCAATTAATTGTATATATCCTATCTTTTTTTGTTTTTTTATAAAAAAAATTAAAAAAAAAAACATTTTTTTTTTCAAAAAAATCAGTGGGTTCAATAACCTACTTGAACCCATCCTTAATACGCCCCTGGGTGTATGGGTGGTCAAGCAAGGCTAATGAGTGGCGGGGGAGGGGAGGGGAGGGAGGAGAGGTGGTGATGGGGAGGGGTTCCATGTGGTTTACGGGGAAGGGGAGATGAGGAGAGAGATATTTTTAATTTTTTTTAATCAAAAATCAAGCTTTATTAAAAAGAAATATATAAAAATAAAAATAAAAAATCCTAACTAATCGCAATGGACACGTGTCTAATTGTAACCTTTTAAACAAGTAACCGATTTTTTTATTCTATTTTGAGCAAATGTATGTCAAAGGTCGTTTTATCCTTGAATAATCAAAGGTTGATTTATTTTTGAAACACCAGCCAAAGGTCGTTTTATTTTTGACAATCTTTCCTATTTATGTTACACTCAAATGTTTCATTTCTTCTTAAAAGATAAATTCTATCAAATTAAATGATAAGTTTAAAAGATATTTTCTAAAGGTAAAGTTTTCCGAAATTATATCTTTTTGTTAAGAATAAAATATGTCAACAATGATAAGATATAATTAGTGTAAAATCAGATTTTATTCAAAACTTATCTTTTTAGTTAAAATACCTTCTTATCTTTTTAGTTAAAATACTTTCTTATCTTTTAAAACAAATTTATCTTTTTCCAAAAGGAATTTATCATAAAATAAATATCTTTATTAAGTAAAACCAAATCTCTAAAAGATAGGCACGTATTAAGTAGAGATATATATCTTGAAATTAAAAATGACTTTTAAAGATATGCAAGCTTAAGTTACTATTAGGTTCGGCACTCTGGCAGTCTCTGAGTTCCTAACGGGCCAGTAACTTTAATTTCATTGACTGTCTAGAGATCCACCTTAATTCCATAGATTTGTTCCAAATATACTTTTATGCCCAACATACTTATATGAATCTTAGAGCAATATACTTCTATTTCTCTGTCTTGATGTTGTTTCTCTGAAACTCTTGTTCTAGAATCGTGTAGTCTTGATGTATTCTGGAACTCAGAGCAATGATCCACTACTGGAACCGCAGGCCAAGTTCCTAACTGGAACTTGTTGTCATTCTTGTTTGTTCCTTGCTAGAATTCGTACACCAAGTTCTTTTCAGGAACTTGCTGTCACATTTATTTGTTCCTTACTTGAACTTGCAGATCATGTTCTTTTCTGCAACTTGTTGTCACATGCACTCCTATTAGGGAGCTTTCCGTCGTGTACCTGTTAAGGAAAACCTCCAGACCTGCTAGGCATCATGCTCCGACTCTTGTGAGAAAGTCTGCTAAAAGTTCCTTCTGGGTCTCATTGGAGAATATATTGAAGCAGTACAAGAAATAGGCTTATTTCCGACGGACATCTTCCGACGGACATGATATTCCGCCGGAAATCCCGTATATTCCGATGGATTCCCTACGGAATTACAATCCGTCAAAATTTATGGGCTTTCCAACGGAATATTCCGTCGGAACATTAATTTTCCGGCAGAAATAAAATCCGTCGGAAATTTCCGACGAATTATTTCGTCGAAACATAAAATTTCCGAAGGAATTTAATCTGTCGGAAATTTCCGACGGAATATTCCGTCGGAAAATTAATATTCCATCGGAATGTAATTAAATAAAAAAAACCATAAATAACCCTAAAAACCCGGATTCCCCCCCCCCCCTTTTATTTCTCATTTCTCTCTCCTCTCCTTTTCTCTCCGCCTCTCTACTCCTTCTCTCTCCTCTCTTCTCCTTCTTCTTTTCCGTTTCTCTTTCCTTTCTCCATCACCTTTCTCCTTCTTTTCTTTCCTTTCTCTTTCCTTTCTCCTTCTTCTCTTTCCTCTTCATTTTCGTTCTCTATTTCTTCTTGGTTTTTTTTCCAGAAATTTTCGACAACAATTACTATAGGGTTTCGGGTTTTCGTCAACAAGCAAATAATTATGGTGCTTATGATCAAATTCGATCATGAAAACTCTAGATCTAGAGGTTTCATGATTGATTTGGCCGTATTAAACCAATTTCGATGAGAAATTAACATCCAATTTCGGTGTTAAGGTATGTTTTCTTGATTTTAATTTACTTTTTTTTTTTTTTTCTTTTTTATGGTAATTGTTGGGTTGTAATTGTGGTTTTCGTAGTAGTGGTGGTTATGGATGTGGTTGTGGTTGTGATTGTTTTTTTTGTTGTTGTTAATTTTAAGCGATAGTGGTGGTTGTGGTTTCTCTCTTTTTTTTTTTTTTTTTTTTTTTTTTTCTGGCAATAGTGGTGGTTGTGGTTTGGGGGTGTTTGGGTGGTAGATCTGGATTTAGGTTGGTTAGGGTTAAGTGGGGGGGTTAAGGTGGTGGGTGTGGTTCGGTTAGGCTGGGTGGTTGGGTGGTTCGGTTAGGGTTGGGGGTACTGGGTTGTGGTGGTGGGTTAAGTGAGGTATGTTAAGGTGGGGGTACTAGGTGGGTACGGTTTTAGGTGGGGTGGTGGTGGGTGGGTACGATTGGTCGGTGAAGATGGGGTTAGTTGTGGTGGTCTAGTGGGGTAGGGTTTGGGTGGGGTGGTCTAGCTGGGGTGGGTTGGTCTGGGTGGGTTTGAGGTGGTTAGGGCTGGTGGTGGGTTCAGGCTAGGGCTGGTAGTGTGGGCTGATGGTGGGGGTGGTGGGTGGGGCTGTTTTTTTTATATATATTTTTTTATTAAAAATAGTAGATTCCGACGGAATATTCCGTCGGAAGGGGTAAATTCCGACGGAAAATTCCGTCGGAAGAGGAATATTCCGACGTAATCTTTTCCGTCGGAAAATTGCTACGGACTGTCTATTAGCCGACATAAATAAATCTGTCGGAATTTCCGTCGGAAACTAGCCTTCCGACGGAAATTTCGTCGGAAAAGGTCGAATTTCCGACAAAGTGTTTTACGACGGACTCATTCCGACGGAATTCTGTCGGGAGGCTAGTTTCCGACGGAATTTCCGATGATTCCGATAGATTTTTTCCGTCGAAATCAAGCTGTTTTCTTGTAGTGAAGTTCCTTTGCGGTTTTGGTTCTCGTGGGCAGGGGCGATATGAGGGAGTGGCTGGGGTAAGCCATGGCCACCCCCTTGATTTTGTTTAAAATTTAATTTTTCATATTCTATCAAGCAAATATTCACATCCTAGTTGGTTAACATGTGAGATTTTTAAGGGATTTCTTATGTGAGACTATGAGTTCGAATCTTGCTGCACAATTTTTAATAAAGCTATACATACAGAATAGCTAAGTCCTTAAAATTTATAAAGTTTCCAATGAATATATATATATATATATATATATATATATATATATATATATATATATATATAATTTCTGGTTCCGCCACTATTTGTGGGAGAACGACCTACTTTAGGTTCATTCATTCTCTCTACTTGTTCCTCTTGAAGTATTTTTTGTTCCAACCCTTTGCTTCACCTAACTCAGTTCCTGTCTTCACATAAACGTTTCAAGTGAGAGAACTAATTAAACTTAAATCCAGATATATACTTCTACGCAAACGACTCATATATACATAGTTACCTTAATGTGCTCCTTAGCCATCATCTAGCTTATCAACCGTAGCTCATCATTGTTTGTTCTTGTTCCTACTGATGCTTATCATATATTTGTCATGTTCCTTATATATATATATATATATATATATACATATATATAAGCTTGTCATAGCTTAGGTTTCTTGTATATTGTCCCAAGCATAACTTGTCCTTTCTATGCACAACTTACACAAACATGTTAGATAGATAATCATCAAAACCTAATTACTCAACAAAATTATTTATTTGTTATTGACAAATCTGCTCATCTAAGTAGAAGTAGGAAAAATAAAAAATAAAAAATAAAAACAAACTAAATTTAGTGCGTAAAAATAATTGTATTATCCCTATAACAAAAATCATATTGTAAGATAATATAAAACTCATTCATTAGAGGTATTTCTTTTGATCAATATTTATAGGATTACAATGAGAAACCTATTCATATTAGGTAACTAACAAGATATGTAAAGATATAATAGATATATTCTTATATAACAAATATCCTAAACCTAAAAGGAGAATATTCTATGAATATTCTTTATCACACATAAAAGTTAAAGCTACCATAAAATAGTTGACAAAATACTAAATTTTAAATTTTATTAAGTTATCCTCAACTGTTTATGTGCACTTATACTATTCTATACAAAAGTTTTCAGCATGTTTTGTGTGCGGCCCCCTTATATTTGATGAAGTAATCTTTGTAACATTGTTGGAGTAACCGCTATAATAGTGGCAAAGTAACTGTCATTATTTGGCCATACGGTGTGGCCAATATTGCATGAATTTACATGTATGTCATACAACTCTATCTTAAAAGGTTAATAATGACCTATATCTCTGTATTAATTGTTTTGTATATAGAGAATATTGGAACAAAGTTATTTCAAAGATATTGGTGGATGATCAACTTGCGTGATGCCGATGGAAAAACTGCCGGTGAAACTGCCCTTCAAGTAGCCATAAAAGATCACAAACAGTGGCTTATAAGTTTGATAAAGAATTATCATCACTCGAAAAATTTAGAACCTTTCGATTGGGTAAAAGCCTGTGAGAAAGATGAGACGACATGGGCGGTACTAGCCTTCATTGATAGTTGTCCAAATCTTCGGGAGATTTGCCTTGAAAAAAATGACACTCCTCTACACCACATCAAATTGCAAAATTACCAAGATTATGTGAACTTGTTGAACAATCCATCTATTGCGGAACTTAAAAATACACGTGATTCCAAGGGCGCAACGCCTTTGCATCGAGCACTAGAGAGGATGGATATTCATCTAGCTACGGCATTACTCCGTGATGAGGGGGTGGAGAGAAACATACAGGATTTTCAAAGCAGGACTGCCATGTCTATGCTTACCCAACTATGCAAAGATCGCGATTGGGTATGTTCCTCCAAGCTTTTATTTTTAAAAATTGTTGTTGTTTATTCAATGACAGCTATAAGAGTGTTTTTTTTTTTTTTAAGCATTGTACTCACTCCTGTTCCATAATGTCGTGGTCGTTTCTCATTTTGTACGGAAATTAACAAAAGTAACCAAAGTGGAAGGAGTATGAAATCATTTAATTGGTATAATCACAAGAGATATTATTGTTTTCTAATGAAGACAATAATAAAAAAAAATAATGTATTTCATATGCTTTGTTAATTTGTGCAATTAGTACATGTGGTCATCAACTTTGATGAGTATTTAGGGAAATTTAGTGTAATATGAGAAAGTGTTGTTTAATTGGAATAAATTGCACTACAATAATGTTAGAGTTTAGATATTGAGTTAGTTTTTAATGATGGTTGGTTAACAACGTTAGTTAGCTTAAATACTATAAATAGATTAATAGATGTGTATATGCATAAGTTTATAACATCAGTCGATCAGGCATTGAAGTTAAATAATGTGTAGGAAAGATAAATATTTGTGGGGTATAAGATAAAGTTGAAGAGACATTGGTGAGGAAAATTGTGACCAATAGAGTGACCATGGGTAGAATGAATAAAAAGTGGGTAGAGAAAGAATGAAGAAGTACGTTTTTGCCCATTTATGAGAATGCTTTAGCATATGATGTGCAATATTATAGAGCTAATTACAATGAACCATCGGACTTGCAGGAATTGATGTGCTTTGATTTAAATATAAATCCGCACTTGAAATTATCATTTGTTCATCACGATATGAATTTGGATCCAATGCGAAGTGCACTATTTATTGTAGCAGCACTCCTGGCAACAATTACATTTGCTGCTGGTTTTACACTCCCTGGTGGTGTGGATGACAAAACGGGCATTGCAAATCTGGCAACCAAGGCACCATTTATAGTGTTTTTATTAGCAGACGCATATGCTTTGTGCTCGTCCATGTTGGTCTTATTTGGTTTGATATGGTCTATGGCTTCAAACCGTCCTATGGCATATTTGTTGGTTGATCGCAGTATCTTTATATTGATAACTTCCCTATATGGTACGATACTCGCCTTTATGACCGGTATCTACACTGTATTACCGAAAAAGTCCTTGTGGGTGGCCATAATTGTCTTCATCATTTGCTCTTTCCTTGTTGTTTTCGCGATACGGACCTTATTGGATCGCGTTCTGTCCAAGCTTGTCCCTGCCGCTGCAAATCAGTTTCAAGTTGATCGAATTCGATGGATTGAAGAGGTTAGCTAAGAACCTTACCACTCATCGCCTAAACATTCATCAATAATTCTTATTCGATCTATTACTTTTACTTGTTAATGGTGTATCGTGTATGTACAATTTTGTTCCAGGGAAAACCTTCTCTGTCAAGAATTCGTAGTGCCATCCCTCAATATACAACCTCTTCACTAGCTAAAGAAAACATAACCAATGCTGAAAATCGAGAAATGGTTCCATTGCTTGAAGAGGTAATGCAATCACTTATAATATACTCAATCCGTGTTTTTTGAATGTTACAATTTGACTAAAACAACTTTAGATAGTTTTATTGACTTGATAAAATAAGATATAAGTGGGTAATTTTGGCATCAAAAAAGATTCAAGAAAAGGCATTGTAGTTAATCAATATTACAATGTAAAAAGTAAGGGATGTAAGAGAGGATAGCCCATCTATTTTATCAAAATGCAACATTTTAATCTGCACTAAACTTTTAATAGTTGAGTTGAATTTGTTAAAATATTGTATTAGTGATATTTGTTGGGAAACATAAAATGATAAAACTAAGAGTAAATATGAATGAGGACTATGAAAGGAGAGATATACACTTTTCAAAAAAAAAAAAAATTAAAATAAAATTAAATTGTGCACTACTTACAATTATATTACTGTACATCAAATAATCTATACTATATACTAAAATAATCACCAGATGGGACACTTGGCATAGATATTGATATTGATCGATAATTTTCATATGAATCAAAGATAAATGTTAGTCATAATTCATCTTATAAACATGTAGTGTATTCTTATTATTATTAATCATATGACATAAGAATCATAATCTTTATTTTTTATTTTTGAGGAAAGAATCATAATCTATATAGTTCTATACGTGCAGTGGTATACAAATTATAAAATTGTGAGCATTAATATTTGTAAGGAATTGTTTATGAAAACTTTGTGATAATCAAAATGAAAATATTCTCCACATTTTAACTAATAAAACATCTAAGGTTAATAGTATAATAATAGGATCATATAAATATTTAAGTTTAATACAATTTAATGTTTTTTCTCATAAATTAATTGTGAAAGTTTTAAACTATTTATGTTTAACGCAAAAGATACGTGTGAACTGTGAACTTTAAAGGGATATATATTCCTTAAAATATTTATTAAACATTTTGATTATATTTTTCTGACATTAGTGCATGTACTCGGTTTTTTGGGTACAAATCTTGTTAGTTATTACTCATAATTATATTTAATCAAAAAAGTACCTACGTTTTTTAAAGAAAAAAAAAAGTACCTATTTAATTATAGGCTAGATTTTACTCGTATGTAAGCTTTGTTTCTTTGTAGTTTTTTGCACTATTAATGAATGTAAACATCAATTATATTCTCAAGCAAATCCTATAGTAAATTTTATGTAAATTAGTTAAAGATTATCTTTCGAAATAATAATAATTTTTGAAATATGAAAAAGGTGATCTCTATATATGATCAAATATATATTTGAAATCTTTAATTAGATACTTATGTTAAGTAACCTAAATATATTTGTATAAATTTTATTCAAGGATTTTCAGATATGGTGAATATACCGTAAATCTTATATATAATCAATCAAGGATATTTTTTGTAAAAACATAGTTCAAAGTTTTTTTTTTCCTTTTTTTTCCGAAAAAGTTGGAGGGAAATAAACGGCACCAGGAAGTGACACGTGTCATTTCTGGTGTCTGTTTTAGTATTATGTTATTGATGTATTACGCGACGTTGAACAGGTATTATATCATAATTTTGATGAAAATAAAATTTTAAAAGTACAGATATTTTTGTACAAGGTGCATAATTCTTATTTATATTTATCCATTTTTTAAAAAAATGTACAAACTATAAAAATAGATTTTATATAAATCGTGCATCGCACGACGGGTTCTAGTCTAGTAACTATTAATAAAATAACAACACCTGACATCATCCTTTCTCCAAACTGTACACATGTAAAGATGAACTAGAAAATTTTCCCGCCTAAAATATATGTGATGTCATCACTTTATTTTACTCTGCATATTATTTTTAGTTGAAACTAGGTTAGAACCTGTGCGATGCACGGTTTATATAATACATATTTTTGTAATTTGTACATTTTTAAAAAAAAATAAATTGAGTATTATACATAAATATAAATAAGAATTATGTACAAAAAATAATTTTAATTTAAAATTTTTAGATTTTCATCAAAGTTTTTACATTATACCTATTCAATGTCACTTACGTTTTAGTTGTAACTTGTAAGGTAAAAGCTTCTAATATTTAAATTTCAAATATGTTAAATATGATAGCTTAAAAAAAGACATCATCATTGCATTTAGGCTGAAATTTTTTTTATTAAGAGAGCGACATGTGGACAGTGGTGACGTTAGCATATTCTGTTTTAGTATTAGTTAATAGATTTTTTGGTCATCGATTTTACTATTTATTTGTTTTTATAATTTGAAAATTTAGTGTATTAATCAATATCCAAATTTAGTTCAAACTTTGTAATTGTGACAAACTGACAATATAGCAAATTTATTTGTCCATATATATCGTGCATCGTACGAGTCTAATCTAGTTATATACTAAAAGTAATCCCCATATAAAATACTTGGCGTAATTTTCTAAGAATTTTCCCTCCAAAATACTATTTATTTTTTTATAAAATAAATTCTATTAAAATAAAAATCCCAAATCCTTTTAATGAAATTATTTATATATACTTCATACGTAACGCATAAGAATTTTAAGTGTAGACATTAAATAAATTCAAATTTACAAAAAAAAAATTGTTACATATTTAAGTCATTTAGTTTCAATTAACTTGATTTCGATTGACTATTAATATTAATAAATCTTATGATTATGAATCCGTGTATTGCACGGGCCAAAAACTAGTTAAAAGATAAAATAAATCCTAACAATAATCCCAACCTTGTTTTATAAAAGAAAATATTAGAGTCTATCTAAACTAGAAAATCCTAACTAACTAGTCCTAATAATAGAAACTAACAGTAATTTTAATATTCACTAGTTTTTTCCAATGCAATGTATGGATTCAAAATAATAAGACATGAAAATAATAAAAGTCAATTAAAATAAAGTTAGTTTAAATGAACTGACATCTATAACATGTTTATTTATTTTTTATTTTCTTTTTAAGAAAATTTGAATTCATTTAATGTCTAATGTTAAAACTCTCTTGTTAAGTTAGGTTTGTTATTTAAAATATATTTATAAATTATTGTAAGTTTTTATTCATTAACTTTTTATCATGTTATTTTATATGAAAAAAAAACAAGAAAAACTAAAAAGTTTTTGGTAAATTTTTTTTTGTTGTGAATGCGACACATGTACTTTAGGGATAATTTTGGTGATTACTTTAGTTTATAGTATAGATGCATAACTTTCGAATTGACGATAGTCAATCTCCACAAGTTCACAACTTAGTAGACGACTCAAATAGAAATCAAAGAAAGCAATAAAAATTTTAATCTTGATTTCTTTGATCCGCATCATAGTATGTTAAGAAATATTATGAAATGATAATATGTTAAGAAACATTATGAAATGATGGTATTATTTACTTGTATTTGATTATATATATATCTGGACACTTTTTATGATATAATATAGCCTATATAAGAAAAAAAAATCCTCATTATGAATAAATGCTATTTCAGGGGCAAGGGCAAGCATCTACATCTGGAAAAGATGATATCAAGAATCCTCCTAGTCCACCATACAAAAACAAGGGCATATCAATTGCATAAGGTGCCAAAAAATGTCAAACGTTTTAAGGAAAGTAGAAAAGTGAGAAGCATTCCGAAAAATTTTATTATTCTTCCTTCATATAAAAATAAATAAATAAATAAATAAATAAATAAATAAAAAAGTGTTGTTTTAATTTTTTTGGAGAGATTTAAGCCGGCTTTGAGGTCGAATTATCAGCTGTGTTTGTGAGTATCTTCTTTATCAATTCAAAACATTATTTCTATGCAGAAATTTCAGTAAGTTTACAATCTTGAATTGTTGGTGTCAACTTTTGCAATGTCTCAACGACTCAACCTTTGTTAGGGATTGGCACTACTAGGAATATAGCAGAATTAAAGGCAGCAAGTGAATGACAAAAATGAGTCCGCACAACACTGTCTAAGTAATATATTAATGCAACTAAAATTAGTTTTATTGTAATAAGCCTAATGTAATTCTTCTAGACCTAATTTCTTTGGCGAAGACTTTTAAGATGAGTTAAAGCCACAAACAATAGCCAAACTCGACTATCGCAAACACCTTAGGGATTACAATTACCTACAAGATCTAATCCAATTTACGTAAAAGCCGAATAATCCTAGACAAGATAATTTTTATTCAAAAGAAGCATGCAAGAATTTAACTAAATCAGGGGGTGTTTGGTTCACAAAATGGTATAGGTTTGAAATCTGGAATGAACCTACAATGGTATAGGTGTTTCGGGGTTTTTTGATGTCCCGCGGGAGAGTTACAATTTTGGGACTGGATCCGTGCGCCTGTACCTGCAAAACAACGGAGACTCCGGGTGGTGGGAGCTCCGCCTCCGACGGTCAAGTTAGTACTTGTTTGAGGAGTAATAAGTGCGGAAATAAAGGTTGGGAGATCTGGTTCCTCTAGGGGAGGAATGATCAGTCTGTTTAGGTTCTCTAGGTGAGAGTAATTAATTTTCGAATCCCCTTTAATGAGAATTAATTAGAATATTTATAACCTTGGGAAACGTGCCAAATACTAGGTTTAGGTTATCCTAGGGCTGACTGGGCTTCCCTTGGAAATTGGGCTTAGGTGGCCTGCTTGGCCTATTTGTCATACGGAGGCCACGTGGGGTGACACAACTGGTTCATGGGGGACAGATCAACTCCTGACATGTGGCAGGCTTCTATTGGCCCATGTAGGCGGACACTTGGCAGAGCCTGAATGGTCCACTTGTCAGATGGTGATTGGTAGGGAAAAATCCCCTAATCATTTGCCCCTCACAGGTGGCACGTGACTGTTCACATGTCACCTGTGACAGGTGTCAGCCTGTAACAGGCGACGGCCTGCTACAAGTGTCGCCCTATGACGGGCCGAGCATTTTTCCCGCTCGTTTTTGAATTTGGAGGCGACTCTTCGCATTCTCCTTTGCCCTATATAAAGGCATGCTGACCAAGTCTTTTGTTCACATTTGCGAACTTTTTCAAGAGAACTCTCGGGCCCCTGAACTTGAGCTCTGACACTTTGCAACTTTTGACCTGTCAAGACGACTGTTTTTACTAGGCGCCTACTCGATCAAGCTCTTCTTCAGAACTTAAGTTTCAGGTAACCGTCTGTTTCTTTATTCTTTTTGCTTTTGCACTTTTTCTTTCTTTTTTGAAAATGAGACCTCAAAAGCATCAGGCACGACCTAGGTTAGCAATCAGCCGGTCACCGGGGATGGCTGAATCTAGGACTAGGGGTGCCGACTGCCCTGCAGTACTTCAAACTTTGCGCAAGTTTCGGAATCCAACTGTCTTTGTATCTATGCAGGATAATATGGCAAGAACAAAAAAGATCAAGAGAATTGAAAACTCTGATGGCTCCTCTTTCCAGGTTCAGATTAGCGAGCTGTCGGACCAGCCACCTGATACCGCAGGGACCCAAGGCGGCCCTTCAGTTGAGAGCTCGGAGGAGGGGCTAAAGTAGATCCTTCCCACTTATTTGTTGAGCTGGCCAGTCAGCAGACGACCCCTGAAGAAGAGGAGGGGTCGGCCCCCTCAGGGAGAGGGGAGGAGTCGGACTCTTCTGATAGTGAGTCTGACTCTAGCTCTTTAAGCCGCCTCTCTATAAACTCAGAGGAAAGACATGCTCGTTTGCATGAGGCGAGAATTTCTCATGCGGCCGAAAAAGGGGACGGCTGGTCGGAACCATCCGCCTCTCACAGGGAGTTGAATACTCCTTATTATTGTCATGTCCCAAAGGGCCGGATCAAGGCCATGAAAGAACGAATAGACACTTTTCTATCGGACCATGTGATGGGTCCTGATTTTCAAGTCTTTGTGCCGGATGCTGAGGATACGGTCGTCTGGCCTGCGGGAACCAGCTATGGGGACGCCTGTTTTGGCTGCTACGAGGCGGCAATCAAGGCTGGACTGCGATTTCCCTTGCATCTGGTCGTTCAACAAATCCTCGATGGATACGAGGTGGGGCTTTGGCAATTAGCCCCGAATTCCTGGTTCAACATCCTTGGCTATGTAGCCGGATGTGAAATGCACAGGGTGGAGCCGAATTTTGAGGCGTTCACCCATATGAACTATCTCAGCCGGACCCCCAAGGCAAGCGGTACCGGTTGGTACCAAATAACGAGCCACAAGGGCTACCTAATGACCAGGGGCAAAGAAAATAAATGGAAGGATTGGAGAAACACCTTCCTCATCATTTCCAGCCCTGACCGTCTGCTGAACAAGCGCTACAATAGGTGGAACAAGGATCCGCCTCTTCTAGCAGGCGGATGCAGCATGCCGCCTGTCCCCCGCAAGGCTCGGGAAGAGATCCTTGACCGAGGACTCTTCAAAGTAGAGATTAGGACAAACTCTACTACTGGGGTACGAGAGCAAGTGCCCCTAAACTGGGTCCCAGAGTTTCAATGGCTCTATGACGAGTTTTTTCTGGCCGCTTGCGGCCTTAGCAGTCGGTCCTCCAGAGGTAGCCGGCCTCTTGAATATATGTACCCTTCTTTTGATTTGTTTTCGAATTTTTTCTAACTCTTGTGGTTGTTACTTGTAGTTGAAGCTATGGACCGAATCTCCGCATCTAAGAAGGCGGCTGCTTTGCTGCGAGCCTCCATCATGCAACAGAAGCGGACCTCTTCTGATTCTCCTGCCAAGGAGACGCCCATAGTGAGCTTCGAGCCTTAGAACTTGTCTTTGAAAAGCTGCTTATATCAGTATTGACCACTCATCTTTTTCGCAGGCGGGCACTTCCAAACCCTCCTCCTCCCAACAACCGGACTCAAAGGTTCGAAAGACGACTGGTGGGAGTACGCTTGGATCTGCCAAGAAACAGTCGGCTGACAAGCAGCCAATCACCCCACAAAGTGTGGGGAACCCACCACTAGTCCTCAGTCGGCCGCTAAGAGGTATAAATCGTTCTGCTAGACTTAACTTATTTGTTCATCACTCTCTCTTCACCTTTCTGATTTTTCTCTTTGTTTTTTATGCAGGCGGCCCTCAAGAACCGGACTCGGTCCAAATGGCCAAGTCCATGATTAAGGCAGTCCCTCAAGAGGAGAGGGATGCGGTCAAGGGAGTCGGCACCCTTGACCTAGACGACATTATGGGTCTCCTTTCTGAGGTAGACTTGGAATATTTAAAGTGTTGACTTGGTGTGCCGCCTGTTATTCTCAAATCTGACGCCTGTTTTTCTTTTTTCAGACCATGCTGAGAGTACACGGCCTCCGAAGGCCGATCAGCGCCAAGAACAAAGAGGTAAAGGCTGCTAAAGCTATGGCCGCCTCTGACGTTGATAAGGCAATGTTTCAAATTGCCCAAAATGAAATTTTGACAACTGATATTCTTTATTATCAGGCGCAGGCCACTTCCACTATTCGCGCTGAGTTGGAGGCGGCCAAGAAAAAGAATAACGAGTTGGAGGCGATTGTCAAGGGTCTCCGAGATGATCTGAAGCCTCTTAGGAAAAAGATGACCCATTTTGAGGCCATGGAGAAATCCTTGGCTGCTGTCAAAGACCGCCTGCAAAAGCAGAAGAAAAGCCTCACTGATGAGCTCTCGGCCAAGGCCGAAAAAGAAAAGATGGAGTTAGTCCAAGCTATGATGGATGACTCAGCTCAAATCATGAAGATGACTTGGATAACCCTCTTCCCAAAAGCTCACTATGCCGCCTGGGAGAAAAAGTTCAACGCTTGTACTGAACAATACAATCAACAAATCATGAGTCAGGCGGCTGAGGATGACAAGGCGGCCGAGTCCAGCTCAGAAGAGGAAGAGGAGGTGGTGGCCTTGCAACCGATTGTGGCAGATACGTCTAAAGAAACTGCTCCTGATGCCGAGACAAGTAAGAAGGAAGCCTCCCAGAACCAGGCGTCCCTTGCTGATCAGGCGGCAGTCAATACCGAAACTCTGCCTCAATCGTAAAGCTTTTATGTCTTTTTATTTTTTCTTCGGTTGCGCGACATTTGTTCTTGTATCACTTTACCCGGCCAGGGGGCAGGGGTATTGAATATTTTGCCGGTCTTTATGGCCGGCTGTTTATATGAATTTGGCGGCCATCTTTTGGTCGTCTTTGCTCTCCAAGTTTTGTTTTATACTTTATTTTTTCTAAGTGTCGAGGATCCTTGATATCCTCTTGCATGCCATACCGACTGTTTCGGCTAGCCATTTATTTAAAATTTGTAAGCCAAAAGTTGCGAACAGGTACAAAGTACCGACTGCCTATGCCCCTGGACGACTGGTTGTCTTGGTTCCAGATTAGGCGATCAGTCGACCATTTACCCAGTTGGACCCCCAACGTATTTTCGGCAATACGTTAGGTTTGCTTAATTTTTTCAAGTTAGAAGGAGAATAGGCCGTTTATAACTAGCCCGCCTGTTTGTTAAGATAAGAATAGTTCTTGAGTCCTTGCTTGCCAAAAAGTAGTCGACCTACGAACCAGATTTTCAAACATGTTTGGTTTGAAAAGAAATCATCCTAGTAGGGTCGGGGTACGAGAGCTCTGGTTCGCCTTTAGACAGGCGGACACGTCATACCTTTTGAACCCTTACTAAGTATGAGAGAGTGTCTTATGAGTAATCTTTGAGGTTGCCCATTCATCATCCTTATGCTTGAGTAGTAGAGACACCAGGCGGCAGAGGCCGGCTGGTCCCCTTGATTCACCAATTTTTGTTGGCTATTTACTCAAGAGGTACCGGCTGTACTTATCCCAAGTAATACAGACGGTTATCCGACTCGGATGTTAACTGCTAATACTTTTTTGGTTTAGTGTTAGAGTTATCCTTGTCTCAAAAACGGCTACGTGGTTGT